GAACCCTAAACCCTGAACCCTCAAACCCCAGAGCCTGAACCCTGAACCCTAAACCCTCAACCCTCAAACCCCAAACCCTAAACCCTGAACCCTGAACCCTAAACCCTGAACCCTCAACCCTCAAACCCCAGAGCCTGAACCCTGAACCCTAAACCCTCAACCCTCAAACCCCAAACCCTAAACCCTGAACCCTGAACCCTAAACCCTGAACCCTCAAACCCCAGAGCCTGAACCCTGAACCCTAAACCCTCAACCCTCAAACCCCAAACCCTAAACCCTGAACCCTGAACCCTAAACCCTGAACCCTCAACCCTCAAACCCTGGAGCCCTTGCAAAACCCTCGCAGCCCGAGTCTCCCTTGGCGAAGGCAACTTAGGGCCGAGGCGATGTGCATGTCGTAGAGACCCCGCCTTCGTAGGAAGGATCGTCGACTGAAGGGCGTTAGGGTTTAGGGTTTAGGGTTTAGGGTTTAGGGTTTAGGGTTTAGGGTTTAGGGTTTAGGGTTTAGGGTTTAGGGTTTACGGTTTAGGGTTTAGGGGCTGAGCTTTAGGATGTGGGGCTTACCCTCCACCTTTTGAACTGGATGTTCGGCTTGAGCGTGTGAGGGTTCAGCGTTTAAGGGCTGAGGTGTAGGCCTTTCAGATATCCATGAGATTTTGGGCCAACTTGATACATGATTCGAACTATCAGCTTTCTGCAATACACAAAGAACTGCGGTTCAGTATTCCTTCATAGCCAGCATGTCAAGATCATGGAACATGTCCTAACCCAAGGTCTGCCTGAGCAGTTGTGCCCCCCTCTGTGACTTGTTGATTGAAGGTCGTTCAGGGTTTAGGGTTTAGGGTTTAGGGTTTAGGGTTTAGGGTTCAGGGTTGTTCTTCCCTGAAACTTGAAGGCCCAAGTCTAAACTCCGAGCTTTGGCCCTAAACTTGAACCCAACAAAAACGCCCTGGCACCCTTGACCGCTAAACCCGGAAACCTAAATCCTAAACCCTAAACCCTGGGCCCTAAACCCATATCCTAAACACCCTCAATCGATCTTGCAGCCGTGGGTCTTGTTCAGGGCCTTGCCTAGATTCGTCAGCTTTCGAACGGCCTCTTGCATGGACATGTCCGCAAAGTCGAACTTACCTCAGAATCCCGTGGTTGATTTTACGAGGTTAAGGTTTAGGGTTTAGGGTTTGAGGCTTAGGGTTCTTATAGGGTTACCTAAAGCCTCAAAAACCACAATGACAACCCCACAGAAAGCCTATGAAAACACCATAAGAACACTGTACAGCCCTCTTCTTCCGACTCCCCTTTGCAAGCTGTTGAGGCCAAGCCGCCCTCCAGCCCCGGATTATCGGCATCCCAATCTTGCTCGATCAGGTCATGGTGCCGGCTGTCCATGATAATCAAGGGGATACCACAGGTCACCTGAACTGCGGTTTAGGGTTCAGGGTTCAACACATGACGTACATCGGCTTTCATGGCCAATCGGGATATCGGTTTGATGGCACCTAAAGACAACGATATTCGCAGTTCTCGGGTTGACTTCATGCGGTGGGCCCTTCTGCTAGCATGTGGGCGACGGAGCATCATCGGTGCTTGCCATCATGTCGTGGATAGCTATGATTTTGTGGTTTTAGGGACCCGGCTCACAAGCGAAAACATTACAGACATCTGCGGACCTTCCTCCTTGCTGGCAGGGCACATGGTTCGCCACCTGCACGGAGCTAGAGGCACCCGGGCCCACAGATCGAGGTTTTGGGACTTGGATTCTGAATGCCTGATTCATGTTGAAGCTTCAGAACACGAAGGCTCACTACCACGCAATGCTACACACTCGGTTCCAGTCGGTTGAACCTGACACCTGGGTTGCACAACTTTATGTTTTGGGGTTTTCGAGCTTACGCCTTAGGGTTCGTCCTAAACCCTGAACCCAAACACCCGTGTCCTAAACCCGACACCCCAAGCCAAAACCTGAAGTGCCCAGAAACCTGTAGCTTTTCCCCGAACATGTATCTCGTCAACTTCCATCTACCTGGACTTCCAAGTATCAGGGTGTCAGTGAAACCATATGAAGCCCTAAACCGTAAACCCAAAAGCCCCAAACCTCGACTCGGCCCTACCCTAAACCTTGAAGCTCTACACCTTAAAACCCTAAAAACCCCAAGGCCCTCAAACCCCAAAAGCCCCAAAGCACAAAACCCTAATACCCTGCAGCTCCAGAGGAGCCCTTCAATGAGGCCAAGGGTTCAGGGTCTAGAAACCCTTTTCAAACCCCAGATTAGTTAAGAGCTCAAGGTTTAAAGCTTATGACTGTCAGGTTTTAGTGTATTAGGGTCTTACGCTCTTTGGGTTCATAACGCGCTGGGGCTTTAGGGTTCTGGGTGTGAGTTTTATGCCTCGGCTTCAGCCAAGCTTTACATCCATGCACAAACCCTAAACTCCAAACCCCTAAACTGCCGAGAGCGGCGCTGACCATTTGCATGGGCGCTGGAGGCTCCGACGAGGGCCCCCGGCTGAGTGCCGGTGAGGCCATGGCCGACCGCAGGGGTCTGGCAGGTGTCCCCAAAAAGGTTTGGGGCCGCCGTCCACAGGGTCGATTCGGAGTTGGGTCATTGCTACGATGCCCCAAGTGTGGCTTGGATTCCAGGAACGGCTTGCCCCTGAAAAAAACAAGCCTTCTGATTGTTTAATGAATGAGTTTTGCCTCGGACATCTCCCCCCAATCCGAATGTCCATCGTCCACTCTGAGCGCGGCACGGACAGTTGCACGATGGGTTGCGGGGCAATGCGAGTTCGAAAAATTGGAGGCGGAAAGGCTGCGGATCCAAGGCTTGTGGCGAGATGCTCGGAACTCTGCATGATCGGGCAATGAATATTTGCAGCTTGTTTTCTCTCTCTCTCTCTCTCTCTTTCTCCCTCCTCCTCCTACGCTCCAGGCACAGAGCATGAACAAAGCTCCGAAACCCAAGCCCCGAATCCCGCACAGCCCCCGACTCCCAGGCAGTCCCGGCTGCTGCTGGCAGATGGATGACTCAAGATGCCTACCGTAAACACCGGTAGGACGACTAGCGACGAGGCAGGTAATAAATCGGAGTCACCCGCCGCCCGCCATACCCCGCTGACCTTTACTCCTTGATGTGGTTGTGGCTCTCCGAGCCGAGCAAACGAGGCCTTGACGATTCGAGGAGTAGTCGGGGTGGTGGGTCGTGACTTTCGCGCTGAAGCTCTGTTCCGATGCCTGGAAAGCTTCAGGTTTCATACTACCTCTCGGCCAGAGCTTCTGCGCTGAGCCACGAGTCCCAGGTTTCCGTCTGGGCACGCTTAAGGGGGGGCACAGGGACATGGCTCGCCCCCCCGGCCCGACATCCTCGATCTCCAGTTCCATTGGGGCCTACGCCCAAGCCAAGGAATCAGGACACTACTTTGGGCTGCGGGGTTTCTTGCTAAACTGCTTGGAGGATTCCGTTCAGCGGGAAATTCAAAAAATCAAAGAGACAAAGAAGTGCCATACATTAACTATCCAAACTGCCTTCTTGGAGCGTGGGACTTGGAACTTTGTGGAGCTACAAAGTCTTGTCGGACAGAGTCGGCACGCTGATCGTCTCCAACGATGTTCGCAATTAGCGGCTCTTTGAACTATTTACAAGTGGAGGACTTAGGGGTTTTATCTCACGAGCACACGCGTGCCACTTCGCTGTACCAGTGCCATCCTGATGCTGCCGGCTCAGCGCCGGCCCTTCGCCCGGCCCTCTTCTTGCCTGTCAACTTTGTTAAATGAGGATTCAGGAAAGTCTTGGGACGCGCGGCACCACATGCAAGGATGGCCCCTGGCCCTGACTTTCGAGCTAGAATATCTTACGAAACACACGCAATCTTGTGCATCCCAGGAGCTCTTCTTGATCTCATTTGGCGGCAATGTCCTTCTTCTTAAACATCGAGCTTGAACAAGGGTCTCGACTCGAAGCTTCGGAAAGTCCCTGGTTAAATTGGCTTTAGGTAGGGGCGACTTCCGGCGTGTCAGGCAGGTTGCGTGAAGTGCGCGGCGTCGGTCTTTCTATGCCGACGTCCCAGCACCCTCGGAACATGTCGACAAAAAAAATTCCTGAGAAGAAACTGAGGTCCGGACTTGCCGGAGTAATATTGCAAACACTCTTTCCTGGTGTAGCTTTGGGGTGTTGGGGGGGCACCGGCTGCGAAAGCAACAACCCCGATTCTCCGTTTAAGTCAAGAGTGGGAGCTGACATTCAAGCCTTTAGCATGCTTCCGATTAGGAAGTCACCTCACCCTACGTAAAAACATCACCGGGTGAAACGAGAGAAAAAACAAAAGATAAACCAAATTACAATGAAGGAAAGAATTAAAGTGAGGCGTGACTTTGCTTTGTCTTTTCCGCTTTCACCTTTTGGCTCAATTTTTCGCTCCTTCGTTCTTCTTCTTTGGTTCGTTCGTGCTTTCATTACAAAAGAACCAAAGAAAGAGAACGAAGCGAAGAAAAAAACGAAAGCACCTCGCTCGTCGCTCGGGTCTACGACATCGTACAATCCAACACGCAAGTCAGCCCACAAATCACTCTAAACCCTAAACCCTAAACCCATAAACTTCCCAGGCCTGGAATCCACCCGGGCCCCTTCCTGCTCCCAAGCGCGCAGGCGACTCCGTCCTCGGGTCGATGCGGCGCGCCGGCGTCGCTCCGGGTCGAGTGATTCGCCGGGGAGGGCAGCCAGAAGGATCTGCAGCGGAGAGAGAATCCCAACTAATTCATGGCCGCCGGTTTCCGGCAGCCGCACTGCTCTTAGTTTCTCAAGCAATAGCCCGGCCGCTTCAGACAGCAGCTGCACGGGTCCTCAAAACTGCCGCACAAGGCAGTACATGGCTGGTCCATTGGGAGTTTCCGAAAATTAGGGGTACCTTGTTTTGGGGTCCTTATAATAAGGATCCTACTATTTAGGGTACTATATTAGGGGCCCCCACTTTCGGAAACCCCCAATTAGTTTCTGGAGATCATCCGGAGATCACGTATGGGAAGCGACATGTGTACTCACGAGAAACCATCGACTGAATCCAACTCACGGCTCAGCTGCGCTGAATTGATGTTGGTGGGTTTGATTTTGCATCACACATGGGTAGTTGTCAAAATTATGGTCCTTTTTGGGGTACCCTAAATAATAGGTGCCGTATTATAATAAGGACCCAAAAAAGACCATAATTTTGACAACCACCCACATGATGTTGAAGGTCTGAACCCCGTAGAGTTTTAGACGCAATGTAGCAGCTCATCATGCCTACGCTGTTCCATAGAGCCCGATGCAGTCGCCATGCCAACGTATACTGACCCTCTTTCACTTCGGACCCCGCCCTCAAAACCCCAAACCCTAAACCCTAAACCCTAAACCCCTAAACCCCTAAACCCCAAACCCTAAACCCCACATCAGTGCTGTTGCTGCTGGCTGGGCTGGGCTTGGCTGGGCTGGCCGGCTGGGACCCGGGCTGGGTTGGAGCTGGGCTGGGGCTGGGTTGGTGTGGGCTGTGTCCTGACCGAAAAGAAAATACGTTGCCGAGATGGCCAACAGCAACAAGCAATTTCTATTTATTTCTTTGTTGAGGGTTTATGGTTTAGGGTTCAGGGTTTAGGGTTTTGGCTTCTTTCGTGTATAGGGTTGCAGGATGTGGGTCCTAGGCTTCCAGGTTGGCAGCGGCTGAGGTTCCCAAAAAAGGGGCCACAATACTTCGAAAAGGGTTTCGGGGTACAAGCATAGTATAGTTCAAAGGATACTACTCGTAGTTATTTTATAATTTTTGGTAAGGCTTTCGACCAAGTATACACACCCTGAACCCTAAACCCTAAACCCTAAACCCCCAAACCCCCAGACCTCTAAACCCGAAGCCCTAAACCCTACACCCTAAACCCCTAAACCCCTAAACCCCTAAACCCCTAAACCCCTAAGCCCCTAAGCCCTAAGCCCTAAGCCCTAAGCCCTAAGCCCTAAGCCCTAAGCCCTACTGAATTCAGGCCGTCGGGGCACGCCCCATTTCTCTCCTTTCTCGCGGATCGAAGAATCATC